TGTGGGTCCCATATCTAGTAACTGAGATATCGGTATACCCAAAATCCACCAGCCGCCACTGTGCATTATTCAAAGAGGTTATGTCGGTTTTCTTACCACCATAAAATTTGCAAATTAACAATTAAATGAAGTTCAGCGAGTACAGCAAAACAACTAATAGAACTATGGGGTCAAACAGAAATTCCACTGCGTCAAGAATCTTCTATTATCTTATCAATAATTCGATGTCACCACAAATGGTTACTTTTATCAAAGAGTAAACGTCAGAAAAAATCTCCAACACATAAGAAAAAAGAATTTATCTCAACGTGGTTTTATAGACAACTTTGAGCCTAGTACTGAAGCTATGGAAATTGGTAGTATGGATCAGAGTAATATCATTTTGTTCATAAATAAATGTCGATGAATAAAACAATTTTTTAACTTAAATGATATTCATTAAATTTAAGATAAAATTTTAATGTTATTTAGAGATCTTTACATGATTTACATTTTTTTGATTAATTTTGTTTGATGCCGTCAGAGTGCGTATTTGAATTATTGAAATATTTTTTGATGATTTTATTGCTAAATTATTTTCTTATTTATCTTCGACCAAAATTTATTAAAAGGTTACTTTTTTCTACATTTATTAAGTGAAATATTAATAGTATTAAAATAGTATAAAACTAGACATAATTTTATTAAAAAATATTTATTTGTTAGATGGACTCAAAAACCAGGATAATTTTGTGTTACATTGGGACGGCTAAATATTAACTGATCTTGTTGGTACAGAAGAAGTTGATAGATTACCAATTATAATATCGTCATCAGGCAGTGAACAATTATTGGGTGTGCCGAAAATCATGTCTGGAACTGCAAAAAATCACGCTGAAGCTATTTTGAAAATTCTATACCATTGGGGTGTTAGTCGTAAAATAAAAGCACTTTCTACTTATTAAAAATATTCATGTTCCGCGACCAATTTAACCTTAACACTAGAGAAATAACAGGAATACTACATATTTGCATATTTGTTTTAAGATTTTATATACCAGCCTGGTTTAAGCTTCATCTGGCATATGAGCACCGAATGCAGATTTAACTTTAATGAAAAATGTATTGCTAACCCAACCCAAAACAATCCTTCTTTCGCTAAAATTGCTGCTGACAAAATGTCATCTGTCCGAGGAATGAGATGTTTTGGCCTTATTCGATGTGAATGTTTCAGTGGATATGAAAAGAAAAATATTAAAATTAAAAAAAAAATTTTAAGCAACTTGTGATAATACCATTAATTACGTAGGTGTTTAGGGGAGGGTCGAGCCAAACCTCACCCAATCTCACGTGGGGGGAGGGTGGTCTCAGCAAATATCACGTAATTTTTTTTTTTCCGAAAGAAACAGTCTAAAATTGCGACAAAACTGGGTTATATTAGGTAAAAAATGTTTCTCCACTAAAATGCATCTAAAGTTTTGGGAATTTTTTCATACATGAATTACAGCTTTTTGATGAGCAACAAACAAGTTACCATTGTTCCCAATTATTCGTTACTAAGCAACCTTGATATGTCAAAAAACATTAGTTTCAAATTTCTCAAAAACATCTCATATAAATTGGAAATTCGAAAAAGTATTTACAACCTTGTTGGACGGCTACCGAAACGTGAAATTGTAAATATTTTTCTAAACGAAAATATCTCCAAAACAACAATATATCGGACAATAGCTGAATGCGAACAAGGTATTCCTTGTTTTAACTTACCAAAAACTTCTAAGTGAAGTTCGTGAAAACAGAGTGGTTGAAAGCGCAAGGCATAAAGTGGGTACATCTTATCGAAAACTGGCAAGAAGATTTCATGTATCAAGTGCCACTATACAAAGAACACTTAAAAGAAGAAACTTAAAATATCGCAAAAGACGGAAATGCCCAAACGTCTTAAACATTATGAATTTCATCAACTAATCTTTCTTTGAGAACCTGAAGATTGCCCGGCGTATTTTTGTACACCACTGACAACAAATGACCCCATAAAAAATCCAATGGTGTTAGGTCTGGAGACCTAGCAGGCCACTCTATTGGCCCTCGTCTACCAATCCACCTGTTCGGAAATACCTGGGATAAGTATCTAATTACTGTCAAACCAAAATGTGGTGGAGCACCGTCTTGCTGGAACCAAATGGTGTCGTCTACTTCATTATTTTCCTCAAGGTACAATGCCCTTACTGCTGGAACGATATCTGTCTGAAGGAGGTTCAAATATTGTTCTTGCGTTAGATTTCCCTTAATAAAAAATAGTCCTATTATGTGTTGGTCAATTATTCCTGCCCATACATTTATCTTTTGAGGGTGCCGTGTGTGTTCTCCTTTTTCCAATGCGGGTTTTGGTGGGACCAGTAGCGGCAGTTATGACGGTTAATAAAACCGTTCAGCATGAATGTGGCCTTATCCGAAAATAAAATTTTTCTTGAGAAATGTAGATCCTGATTACAACGTGCCATCAAAATTTCACAAAACTCAGACCTATGATCAAAATCGTCATCACTTAATTCTTGCAAAAAATGCACCTTATGGGAATGCATTTTTTCTCTTTTAAATAACCTGATATCGTAGTCTCGGGCAACCCCCCGACAAGAAACTGTAGGTACTTTCTGGACTTGCAATAGCACATTCAGGGCAACATCTCCAGCAGTGGCAGACTGTGGTCGACCGCTTCGAGACCTATTTTTGACACTTTCGGTTTCAGATTTTTTACTATTTTGCTTACGCATGATTGTGACAGAATAATGCACATACTTCATGCGGAGTCCTCTTTCGGTCTCCATACCCAACCATCATTAAAATAATAATTCTTTCTTTTTCGGTACGCATTGTTTTTTAAAACAGTAGCTATTTATTTTACGATTATCACATTACATGTGAAAATTGCACTGAATATCGAATTAAAAATAAATTACAGGTAAACGATGTGGAGTCCACGTCTAACTCGCAGCAGAGCAGCAACAGCAGCCCAGCAGATAAGACCTAAATATGGTACATGAGATTGTAACGAAACGTCGTCAGAACCGACAACACGGAGCAGATACCAGATATAAATATATATACATATATAATAGGGTGTGCCAAAAAAACTCGATATTTTTTTTTTCTTGCTCTCCACCCAAAATATCGTAGAATATGTCCGAACAAATATTCTGTTAAAAGCGGAGCTCATAATTTCAATTTTAAGAGGTCCCTCATCGAATCTGAAGTTTTGCCGCTTAAATAACACAGAAAACTGACTTTTTTACCTTATTTATTCTTGCAACCTAGGAAGATTTTTTTTTTCGTAAAATCCATGACTAATTCTTACAAAGCATTAAATTTGGACAAAAAAATCTTATTAAGCCGAATTTCTATTTTCATTATTTAATTTTTTACAGAGCTTTAAATTTAAAATTTTACGTTTTTTGCCTTTTTCAGCTAAACTATTGAATATATATGTGTAATCTAACTTTTTTAGTTCCTTATCAAATTAAGCAGTTAGAACAATCCAAACAATTTAAACAAGTATAAAGTTACAATGTCAACGTAGACATATATTCATTATCCTGGGAAGCCATCTGATACATAAATTATTTTCATTATGAAAATTCCGGTTCCTGTGGAAACACTGAATAAACTTTTAACCACGTATCTTAATGTAGTTAGGTAACGCCGCACTGAAAGTTAACTGAAAACAGTATAAACAAACTCTGCCTTAATTATTCATGAATCCCACGTATACAATAAAGATGCGAATGTTTATTTATAAATATATCTTTACTTCAAATACGTTTACATGATTTTCTAACATTCTTAAAAGAAAACAAAAATTAAATTTATGCATAAATACCGCTGTATAAATAAAAAGGCATTTCAAGTCACGAAAATAAGATTTTTACATTTACATCTATTTACAGGATAAGGAGAACTTTTTGTAAAAGGTTCGACAAATACTTTACAATTAAAGAGTCGTATCTTTTTAGCACGAACTATTCTTATATACTTTTTATTTGAGGAGTGATTTTTCAAAAGGTCGTATTTCCATTTGCAACAATTTTTCAAAAAAATGACTATAACCTGTATAGGTTAGGGCAATATAGATTATTTAAAAAAAAATTCTGATGAAAATGTAATAATACTTCAGACCTGCTGTCATATTTCGCCGTTAATATATGCCTTTTAACCATACCTTTGGGATTTTACATTCAAGTAAAAATGGAAATAAGGCCTTTTGAAAAACCACTCCTCATTTATAGGTCCCTACCTAAATTTGTACTTATTTAATTAAAAACCAATGATTAGTGATTTAACCAACATTTTATTGTTGGAATAGAACCTTGTTTTTTCTTGGTTTTTGGTGCTCTGAATTAAAATTAGACCTCAGAATTGCTCCATCAAGTCAAAATTTTAATAAAACAAAAATAAATACAAATAGTAAATATAATATATAAATAAATATATAAATATAAGTACAAACCTTTCTTTTCAAAATTCTTTTTAAATTTTTTCAATATCTTTCGCTAAAATTTATAATTAAGCTTTATGAGCTCAGCACAAAACGACTCACTTCTCAGCCTTATGACACAAATTTTTGTACATTAATATTATGTATTGGTGATTATAACAATTCTTTTTGATTAGATTAATAATTAAGTATATAAAAACAATAAACTAGCCAACATTAAAACGATTAATGCAAAACATAAAAATTAATTGAAGGGTCTGCTGCAACAAGGAGGTATCTGTATTTTTTGGCCAAAATGAGTTATGTGCTGTAATTGACACAAAAAGTAGTCCTCTATCGTTTGACGCAACAACGAGATCTCGAACGAATATTCCTGGGGAAGGGGAGGTGCAATATGGAGGTATCTGTAGCATATAAATCCATATTGCACCAAACGAAAAATGTATTTTACTTTGACAATAGCAGATATACCTAACCTAAAATGTCATTATTTACATAGCTAAGCTACATAAAACTTTTCCTAGTAAATATGCGTGATTCAGGCGATTTAGATAGTGAATCAGAGCCATTTAGTAGTGGTTCTAGTGATAACTTTGAGCCATCAGTAAGTGAGAGTGAAGGTAGTGCTAATGAAGCTGGTCCTGCGGTAAAAAAACGAAAAATCAAAAGCGACAGTGAATGGAAAAGAAATATGAGAAAGCGAATGCTTGCAGAAGGAAAAAACATATTAACTCAAGAAATAAACTAAAACCTGCGAGAAAAACAGGAAATGAATGCCTTTGTAAATATAAATGTTTTGAAGAAGTATCAGAAGAAAGTCGTGCTATAATAATCGAAAAATTTAACCAAATTGGTGATAAAGAGCAGCAGGATATTTACTTATGCGGACTTATTAAACAAAAACCGATTAATCTAAAAAGAAGCTTCGGTGCAAGAAAAAAAGTTCCTCTGAATACAAAGTAAGTAATAGAAAACATAGCCCCTGCAGCCTTTAAAACTGTTAAGTACATATTTTTTAGATTCGATTGGGCACATTCCACCGAAGAGTCTGCAAAAAGGCATTTTGTGCTATGCATGGAGTGTCTGGTAAAAGAGTTGAGCGTCTTGGCTCATATATTGCAGTCAATACAACTACCACTGCACCACCAGATTCAAGGGGAAAACATCGAAATAGGCCCAATCTAATCCCACAGGAGTTAGTTTTGCAAGTCGACAGCCAAAAGTTTTCCACGCAGGAAATCTCATTACAGTAGATCAGATAACGAAAAAAAATATTATTTGTCTCCTGAACTTAATGTTAAAAAAATGCATGAGCTATATTTGGAAAAGCATGAACCAGAGGTCTTCAAATATTGGTTCACGAATGAAAAAAACTTGCATAAACCAAAGATTTCTTATGATTTCTATTTTAGATACTTCAAAGCGAACTTTAATATAAGTTTTGGACATCCACGCTCCGACACCTGCCAAGTATGTGACCGTATAGATATTCAGTTAAAAGGAAGAGCAACCCTTTCAGAGGACGAAATCAAAAAAATTGAAACTGAGAAGAATCTTCACCAAACTAAAGCCGAGGTTTTTTTCAAAGATATGAGAGAAAAATCAGATCATGAACAAAATGCCCCCTTGCCAAAGATTCCATCAGGTGATGCTTTCTATCTACGGCAGCTATGGATGTATAACTTTTGTATACATTCATCAAAGCATAGCAAAGCTCATTTTTATATGTATGATGAGATCACTGCAAAGAAAACTCCTAATGAGACAATAAGCCTTTTGGACCACTATTTTAAAAATATTTTGGGCCCAGAAATAAACATATTGTACTTGTTTTCAGATAATTGCGGAGCTCAAAATAAAAACAATAGCCTAATCCAATATTTATATACTCTGGTTAGAAACGGACGTTTTAAGAAAATTGTGCACAGATTTCCAGAACCAGGGCATAGTTTCTTACCATGTGACAGGTGCTTTGGCGTAGTTGAAAAGCATGTTCGCAAAATAGAAAGGGTCTATCTACCAACAGAATATATTAAACATTACCAAAGCAGCAGTCCAAAAAATTTTGTTACAGTTCCTGTTACCCAGAACATAATATTTAATTTTGTCAATGCACTTAGTGGATTTTTCAAAAAACTGCTACCTCTGTTTCCAAAGAAAAGTTTAAAGTATCCCAGTACAGAGTTTTTGAATATTCTGCAAAACATAAGTTTCATGTAAGATGCTCCACTTCAACCAACGCTCTTGTTTTTACCGACTTCGGTCTTCAAAAAAGGCCTAATGATTGCCCCATTATAGAAAAAGTTAAGCTATATAATAAGCCGTTACCCCTTAAGAAGGCAAAATATGACAATGTGATGCATCTCGCGGAAAAGTACGTTCCCAAGGCAGATATTGGATACTACAACTCCCTTGTTTCGGACGAAATTATGAATGAGGAGACTGATGACACAGAAGATGATGAAAATGATGCTGAATAACTACTTATGTAATGCTTCTATTTTTATTAGATACCAAAAAATGTAATATTTTTTGCAGTATTTTTGCCTTTTGGGTGCAAAAAGGAGGTATCTGCATTTTTGTTTATTATCTACTGATATTATATGAAAAAAAATTCAAAATTTTTTTGCCTTAAATTATTGACTATATTGATCTAATACAGTCCTAAAAGTTTTTTTATCGTTTTCAAATACATGAAAAAGTAATTAAGTTTTTTATGTCTCCTGTAAAATTTAAAAAAACACAGATACCTCCTTGTTGCAGCAGACCCTTCAATTATTTTCATAATATACAAACTTATTGACGATCATTAAACGATGTTCTTTATCTTTAAAACAATAAATTTTTTGTCATTTATCCATGAACAGCACACATACATAATAAACAGTCTTCATTGTCCGAACGCTCACTAAACATTGATTTTACAAACTATACCATTCAATTCCAAAAACGCGCCAAAATTAATGTTGCCCTACACTACTATTGGGTGGGGAATTTTTACATACATCAGTCTTATAGCATTAACTGACTTTGTCGTAAATAAAGTATTATTATTTTTATTATAAAAGTTTAGTTTCGCGTTTAACCCTAAAGCTTTATTAGTGAAATTGTGACGAAACCGAGGTGTGTGAACTTGTGAAGTTATTTTAAACATTTTTGACTTTTTTGGATATTTTTTTGTTATTTTTAAGTTTTTAGTGAATGAGTTTTTAGTATTTAAAGTATATATGTATATACACTTTAAGTAATATTTTAAATATAATTATTTAGGATTAGGGCGATATATGTTCTAAAATTATTTATATATTTAATCTTGACTTTTTGCAGAAAAGCATAACGTTTAGGAACTTTTTAGAAAAAGCATTCTGTAAACATCTTGAGAGCTCAAAGGTTCATTTTATTTGTAAATTTCTCTTGCATTAAAAAAATGTATTTACCAAAAACATCTTTTGTTATTGATTGCTTGGTAATTTGTATAAGATATTTTTTCCTATTTCTATGTTGCTAAAACAAAATGTACCCAGTAAACCTTTATTTTAAATAAAAAAGGTAAGTATATACAAAGGTGAGTAAATTTGGCAAATAATTAATTGGGTTTTATTGGATTTTATGTAAAAGTAAATCATAAACTAATGCCTTTTTATTTGTAGTATTAACGACCAGGGATCATAGATCTATGGTAAATGTTTATTGATTCAATGAAAAATAATTATAAACTAATGTCTACCGTTTATAATAATAATAACATGCTTTCATATATATATATTCGCTGTTTATTGATTTAACGTGGTAATCATAAAGTTATGTCCAACGGTCGTTATATTAACAACCGATGTTCATAGATCCATGCTCATAGTTTATTAATTTAACGTACAGGATTCATAAGCTAATGTAAATCTGTTTATCGTATTAATTACTGTAAAACATAGATCTATGCTCATTATTCATTAATGTAACGTACAGCAATCGTAACTTAATGAATAAGAAAATTTACGAACGATTGTTCATTGTATTAAAAACACCCGTTATCAGCTGAAAATTAATTTTGTTGTTTATTGATTTGATGAACTTATATATTAATATCACGTACATTTTCGTTCAGAGTAGGTATTTATAATACTATATTATGTAACAGATTTTATAAACGCCATTTTGGATACGAATTTTATTACACAGTTAAAAAATATTTGTTAATTTTATCTAAATAATAACCAGATTTTATTTTAATCCAGTTCCACATAACTTTATGTTACGTTTACAACAAACTGTAATCTAAGTAAGTAAATAAGTAGTTTGTAATTATAACAGACATTTTGTATATTTAATAACAAAATTCTATGTCAATAATTCAACCATAATTTTTGAAATTTTCAAAAAGATTTATTTCATATAACTTCAAATTCATTTGTATCAAGCAAATTCTTGAATTGAATATGGCGAAATAAAAAAAGTATTTCAATTAAATAAACCGTCTATTTGAACAATATGTTTAATTTAATTTAATGTGTATTTATTAGTTATTGAGATATTTCAGGTAATATAGTTAAACAGTTGAATCAACTATGTTTGTTTAATATAACTTAATGATATATTTACCACAATATAGTTAAACTTTAGTCCAACTAGAGATGCGACTTGAAAAAAAACGGTCCGTTTTTTTTGTTTTTTTTTTTCATTGTTTTTTTCAAATGGTTTTTTTTTTACATTTTAGGTTTTTTTTCAAGATTAGTCTCATTTGCCTATTATTTTATGTTTCCATTGACTAAAATTAGCCACTAAATGACAATTATTAAATGTAAATACAGTCTCGCGTTATGCACTAGCCACAACCACCGATTTGACCAATAAGGGCCGCGCTTGTTTTGATTTGGTCCTAAAAAAAGTAACTACATTTAATATTTTGATTTTTCAAAAAGCTACCAAAAGCACTTTTTTTCATGATTTTTCAAATTTATGTAGAGTATATAATAATAATAATAATAAAAAAAATCGATTTTTTTATTACGGTATTCGTTAGAATTGAGCGTTGCACGTTTTTCATCTAAAAATCTCAAAACTATAAAGTTTAAGCTTCAAATTGCTTCTTTTACGGCTCCAATACGACCATTTTTAACAAATATACAGCTATCCGAAAAATCGCAAAAAAAATTTGTATCCTTTAATTTTTTGTATTAGTGTAGAAGTTTTACATTGCTATTGGTTTTAAATGCGGAAACTACCAAATAATAAGAAATCAGATTTTTTAGTCTTGGTCAAAATTTTCAATAATGAAAAATGTAATATATTCTACATTTTACTCAAAATTTCATTTTGAAAAAAAACAAAAAAAACCCAATTTTTCTGTGTAACAAAGAGATGGATTATATATTTATATTTACAACCAAAGATTGTATATATTTTACACAAATAAATAAAAGATTTTCTGAAAAATGTATGGAGTTGCTTTAAATTAATCTATATTTTGTATCAAAAATATTAAATACTTCGTTCAAATAATTCCAAATAAATGTTTAATTGTCAGAAAATATATTGTAATCCCTAACAATGTAAATTTGTTTTGTTATATATATACTGTACATGTATATGTACTGTAATCATTTTGTTATAAAAATTTAGTAAAGTTACATATTTAGGCTATTGCAACCAATTATAAGATTATCTGGTTACAATAACAATATAATATTGTCACACATTATTAACAATATATCGTTGTAGTTTTTACTATAGAGAAAGTTTATACATATAATCAGGGGCAGATGGGCATGTTTCAAACGGCCCGGGACGGTTTTTGTTTTTTTTTGCAATTTTACAAAATTTTTGTTTAGAACGCATATTCTGGATGATACTCGTATGTAAAATCACACAAAAATCTACCCACTCTTACTAATGTTTATTCTACTAAAAATTGTACCAAAATTATGTTAAAATTCATTTTTGACCCTTTTGTGATGTTATAAAACACAAAGTACAGTATAAACCAGGCTTGTGCACACGGGGGGTTTTGGGTGTTCAGGAGGGTTTTAAATTAGAATTTTTACTAAAGATACTGAAAAATAACCTAAAAATACATATTTTTTATAAAAATGTTTAATATAGCGAATTTTTAAAATGAATAGACTATAGATATTTTTATGTGACTAAAAACCGTTAAATTTTTAAAATATAAATTTAAAATTTATTATTTCGTAAAAAAGTTAAAAAAATTATTTAATTAAATTATAAGGGATGAAATTTTGATAATTCGTTGGTGTTGTATTTTTATAATTTTTTTGGGCCAGTCTAGATGTCCATTCGGCCAATCTGACATAGCGGCCCACCGGGATCTGTCTGGAGCCCATCCGCCCCTGCATATAATACGTATAGTATATTTAACCATATATAGGGTTATAAGATACTTGTAACCCTACGCATATTATTATTATAACTAAATAAATTATTGTTTTGTGCAACAACAAAAATATAGTTAAAATGACAATAAAACTGTTACAATATAAACATGGTTAACTTAACAGTATACTAATACTAATCAGAATATTCCATTAAAATAATCATTGTTTTTTCTTAGTGTGTTTACCACTAATTATTATAATGAAAAAATCATTTAAAAAAAAACACCACATATATATAATTATATATAAAGGTATTTCTGGAAAATGTCTAATTTTTTTCATTTATAAAGACAGAATGGTCTTGTCGTTTCAGTATTACTGAAAATGGCTTGAATTAGAAACATGTTTCTTGCTTGTGCACAAGCCTGGCACCATATATCTGAGCAAATGGAAAGAATACATCAAATTTCAGGCTAAAACACGCAGCACTTCTAAGCAATATATTAATAAATACAAAATACACTTACTATAGTCTTTAAACACATTTCATATCATGTTATATCTTTTATCACCTATATATCGGTGATACACACTCCTATAGGTACAGATAATTTAAGTAAAAATAAAAATAACATTCTACATTAAGTATATTACCAATATCGCCACAAAGAAAGTTGTTATACCTTATATTGACTGTAGATATATCTATGTACGAATCTTCGATTGTAATGATAACCTAGGACAAGATGTTGGATATTCGTTTAAAAGTTATTATCCTAAAACAGTATCGCCTCCCTCCAACGCGCGACACAGTAGCTAAGCAAATAGCCTGCACCGCTAATGAGATTTTTTGCATTATTATCATTTAATTTTTAAGTCCTTACCTGCTCGACCTTTCGTCATGTCGTTTATCACAAAAGCTACTGCGCCTTGGAGGGAGGCGAGGCCACGCCCCATATATATATAGATATATTCGGTTTTATTCTGAACGGGCTGTATTACTGTAATATTTACAACAACTTTAAATCAAAGATGGCCGGCGATTTCTCACGTGGTTCGCAAAACAGTTTGGGTTTTCGTTTCGAACAGACTTTGTTGTGTGGATTGTGATTGTACCTATTATAATTATCTGCCCCACGACCAGAGCAGGC